ATAAAAAAAAAATAATAATAATAAAAAAAAAGTTTTAAAATTGATGGTTCATCACCTGACTTGGCTAACTCAACAGCCCCGTCCATGTAGTTGAGAGACCTTTAAAAAGGTCTTAAAAATTTTAAAGGTCTTACTCTCTCATAAAAACCCTTATTGAGCTTAGTTTTAACAGGGGTTGAGACTATCTTTCATCAAACACGCTCTCTCACTCTCTCTCTTATTTACTGGTTGGGAGTTGGAAAATGGTGAGGTAAATCTTATATATTAGTTTGGACTTTTGGTTGGAGCTTTATGGATTTTGGATGGTAGACCTCTTAGAGTTTGGAGGACTATGTTACTAAGCCAATACCAGCCAAGCTTGAGGGGGTCCCCAGCAACAATAATATATTTTGGTAGATGCTTGTAAGGCAATGATAATTACATATCAGGGTAATTTAAGGAGTTAGTGATCGCATTCTTCTGAAAAATAGTCAGTTTTCAATAAAATAATGATATTTCTATCCAGTATCTTTATTTTATTAGTTTTATATGTAAGTGACATCATCTGTTTGAAAAATAGTCTGTTTTAATAAATAGTGATATTTCCATCCAGGATCTTTATTTGATAAGTTTTATGTGCAAATGACAGCCTTATTATTTGAAACTGATATTTTTGCATTTGATTATAGCATTGTCTATAAAATGTTTATTTGCGAATTGACATCCCATAAATTGTGATAATTCTGTATTCTTGGATTTCTATAAGAGTTTTTCTATACATACTAGATTGGCAATTATGCTAGAATGTCTTTACGAATTGCTACCTTTTTGAATTTGAGCCCAAAATATTTGACTGGTTATTTTTGAAATGTTATTGAAAGTGACTGTTATTAATGGTTTCAGTGAAATTCATATTAATAATTTCAGTGCTATGTTAAGGACATGATATTGCTGCTTTCGAATGTTTAAAGAGATTAAGAAATACTTTAAGTATGCAAGTGGGCTCATCCGGTTCGCTGGTGAGGTATAAGTGGATCTATCCGGTACATCGGTAGGGATTAATTGGACTCATCCGGTACGTTGGTGAGGTATAAGTGGACCTGCAGAGATTAAGTGGACCTATCTTGGACGTCGATAGGGATTAGGTGGACCCATCAGGACGCTGATGGGGTATATAGGTGACCTACTTGGGATGCCAGTAGGGTATTTTGTGAAATCCCTTAAATTATGCACTACCGTTAAAATGTTATATGCATTTCAATTATTCGGATTATACTTAATTATGCATTTTTTAAAGTGAAACTGTTGATGCATTTCTGTTAATAGATCTCATTTTTCAAAATATTGATATCTTTCAACCATGATTATTTTTAAGATTATGATGATCACTTACTAAGTAGCCAAACTCATCAAACTATGGTAAACATTTTTTCAGGATAACTGCGGTTGCATATTGAGTGCTTGTCAGGATCAACTTTGAAAGATATTGTAGTTGTGCTTAAACTTTTTTTTGTTACTTTGTAAGAATTCGCCATTGTAAATTTGTCCTGTCAAGAGATGTATATACGTTTAGATCTATATGTTAATATTAGTCATGAACAGAGTTTATATAGATTTGAAAAAAAAAAAGACATCTAAAATTGCTTTGTTTTGACTGTCACATCTCAGGAATATCAGTATTTTAAATTCTTGGGGTGTGACAGGAGCATTATAGGTCTGATGGCCCATATGGAATCCCACAGAAAATGAAAAGGCAGCGTTGCATGTTAGAATTCTGTTTTATCCTTGAGAGAAAGAGTCTGATGTGACCTAAATTTTAGATGTATGCCTCGTCTAGGTGCTCCAGAGAAAAATAAAAAGAATATATATGCACCAAATATGTGGCTAGAATGTGTATGCCATTTTCGATGAATTTAAGTTGTCTAGATCATCACACTCTCATTTCTTTCCACATTATAACCAAACTTCTAGTCAAGTTGAAATTTTGCCAAAAATTGGAGATAATTAGAAAATTAAAGTTCAGAGAAAATTGTCCTAAATTTAGAATGTCATTCCAGGAATCAGATCCTTTGGCGGATTGAATTCTCTTGCAATTGTGTTTCTGTTTTTTTTTTTTTCATTGGCTGATTGTGGCCTAGACCTTTAAACTGTGATTCATATATATTGATTCTCAAATCTGATTCCAAGTGATAGATTGGAGTAGTTTCTGAGGACTTGTTACTCTGAATGCAAACTTGAAGGCGTTATCTGTTTTTGTTATTTTGGAAAGCATTATCTGTTTTCATTTTTGTGTATAGGAATGTGGCTAAGTTAGATGCTGGTTTTCTTTTCTTTACGTTAAATGTGCAGTTATTTCTTGCTCCATTTGTGGTTATTTGAGTATGGTTAATTTAGGCGATGAATCTAACATTGAAACAACATGTCAAGAACTTTGGTTGTGCACTGTAGTTTCTGGTTCTCCTTGCTTTCAAGGGAAAATGGATTCTATGTTGTGACCTTGTGTAGTTTTGTTGATATCAACTTTGATTTAACTTACTTGACTAACTCCTTGTACATTTCTAGGGGAATCGTACCTTCACCCAATCTAACCTTATTATTGAATTTTAGCAAGAAAAATGTGTTTATAAGGTTTGTCACAGCAGGAAACTCTGATTTTAGGATCTTTTGGATCCCCTGTCGCTTTCCCTTTCCTTATTTCCTTTTTGGCTTTCTGGGGACTTGATTTTGTTTGTGTTTATTAATGGAAAAATGGGTTTCTTGTTTTATATGATAGTATAAAAGTAGCTGATTGGTAACTTCCAGGTTAACATAAACTTTTTATTCCTAATATGAATTTCCTTTTACCGTATGCTATATTGGTTCTTGATCTCTGGCGTTACTTCTTTATTTTCATGTGATCCTTTGTATTGTTCTTCACAGAATATGAGGTGTGCTGATTTTATTGTTAAAGAACCTATGGTCATTGGGCATGAGTGCGCTGGTATAATTGACGAAGTAGGGAGCAAGGTGAATACACTGGTTGTTGGTGACCGTGTAGCTTTGGAGCCTGGAATCAGTTGTTGGCACTGCAACTACTGCAAAGCGGGATCCTACAATTTGTGCCCTGATATGAAGTTTTTTGCAACACCTCCAGTGCATGGCTCTCTGGCAAATCAGGTTTGCCTACCTATTTTGAAACAAGAAATCAAGTATTTTTCTTTTCTGATGACCCATTTTTTGGTTTTTCTCTTGCCATCAAAATAAATGAACATTGAAACAGATAGAAAAAAGGGGTGGCTAGGTTTGTTATGAATTAGTCATGGTTGGATAGGTGACTTTGGTTTATGAGTTCACATTACCCAAGTTCACATGAGTCATGGTCGAGGGATGAACCTCTTTTATCTCATCAACTGTTGGCTAGTTTACCCTTTTTGAGCCTTCCATATCCATTGTTGAGCTAAATACTTTATGGGATTCTAAAGGAATTATGCTATACATGTCCATCCTATGACATATGGCACTCTTGGCTGTTTCCACCATCAGTTCCCACTGACAGAGGGAGGTCAACAATACAAGGTTAAATGTCCCTTCGGGCCCACCTTCAGTCAATATACATCCATGAATCCATCAGTTTGAACCAGCGGAGAATGTAGTTTTGAGTGCCATATACCAGCGGTTAATAATATATCCTTATGGGATTTGTTATTGCAGGTTGTTCATCCTGCTGATCTGTGTTTTAAGCTGCCTGAAAATGTGAGCTTGGAAGAAGGTGCAATGTGTGAGCCCCTTAGTGTTGGTATCCATGCTTGTCGTCGAGCAAATGCTGGACCAGAGACCAATGTATTGGTAATGGGGGCTGGCCCAATAGGCCTTGTTACAATGCTCGCAGCCCGTGCTTTCGGAGCCCCAAAGGTTGTTATAGTGGATGTAGATGACCAACGATTATCTTTTGCCAAAGCGATTGGTGCACATCAAATTATCAAAGTTTCTACAGATATGCAGGTACTTACCATCAATTTGAGTCATGATAAAATTCCCAGTGTCCTCTGTGTGTGTGCGTGTGTGTTTTCTTGACTTGGGGAATGATGTTCTTCAAGCTGACTTCCTTGTGACTCTCGTAGTTAAAAGAGAACAATAAGAGAAAAAAGCTTGTGATTCTAAAGCTGTTAGAAACCATTTTATGGTGGCAATCTCTGGGCTTCACTTGAATGATTTTCCCCTTTTATTTTTTTTGAAGATGGTAAAAAATTTATTAGAGAGGAAAATGGCGCAGATAAGAAGTAGAATAAGAAAGAGGGCCTGAGGCGGGTGTTGAGCAGACTAGCAACTGCTACTGAGTTATCGGTTATCCAATTTCCCGGATTACCTCGTACAACTGGGATGACCTTCTTGCTTTGTAATTCTCACATTGTGTTTTGTCTCATGCAGGTTTTCCAGTTTAGCAATGCAAACTTAGCAAGAGATTAGAAAGAAGCTCAATACATAAAGTTTGGGTTAATTGTATAATTTCTTTAATTCCTTTTGTAAACTTAGTTCCAAAATGACTTGTTTCAATTTTATTAATGCTTCAGTCATTGTATGGTAGATGACTTGAAATAGCATGAACTGTACTGTGGCCATTCTAATTAATAATTATTAAATTACAGTAGACTTTTTTTACCTATTTGTTTCTAAGTAATCTTAGATTTTTTGGATCCTGTTTCAAATATGTCTCAGTTGACTGCTTTCGTAGAAAGATTTACATTAACTGAATTGCTACTGCACAGGATGTCGAGGAAGACGTAGGCCGAATAGAAAGAGCAATGGAGGGTGCAGTTGATATAACATTTGATTGTGCTGGCTTTGGCAAAACTATGTCGACTGCCCTGAAGGCGACACGTGCTGGCGGTAAAGTTTGCCTTGTGGGAATGGGACACAACGAGATGACTGTGCCCCTGACTCCTGCTGCTGCAAGGTCTCTCTCTCTCTCTCTCTATTGGTTTTTGGGACTTCTCCAATCCATTAATAAGCAAGCCTCAAACTGGATGACCATTCCTGCCCCCTTAGTATATTCCAAGTCATTGTTGGTAGGTAAACCACTAAAACCCCCCAGTTGATTTACGCTAAAGGTTGAGCGGTGGTTCTAAAAGTTCCTAAATATCCAATCTCTTTGAGAAGGGTTAAACAACTATGACCAATCAAGCTAAGAAAAGCCAACCAAAGTTGTGTGCTTGGTCCATATGCTCAGTGACATGTTTTGATTACACTTGCTGAGTTACTTGGATGATTCAAAGAATGATTTATGCACAGTTTTCTTGAGAGAGAAAAAAAGGATTTTTTTTTTTTGAATGTTAGAGAGAAAAGTAACACTTTAACATTGGTATTGTTTGATTACCAGAGAAGTGGATGTTGTTGGTGTCTTTCGATACCGAAACACATGGCCTCTTTGCCTCGAGTTCTTGAGCAGTGGAAAGATCGATGTGAAGCCTTTGATAACGCATAGGTTTGGGTTCTCTGAAAAGGAGGTTGAAGACGCCTTCGAGACTAGTGCTCGAGGTGGTAATGCTATCAAGGTTATGTTCAATCTTTAGAGCAAACCCATATTTCATTCTGATTAATGGATTTTACTAAGTTTCGTCTAGCATTTTTTTCCAGTGGGAGAGGGAAGAAGAAGCGTTATTGTTGGTTAATGCTTATTTTCTGAATGTTACTAAGCGTTAACGTGTGTGAAGTGTTATTTTCATCATGGATGAGCTGAAGGACAGTTGCTGGTTTTTGCTTTTCAATCTGTACAAAGAACAGGTTCAGCTTTTAATTTGTAAAACATTAGAAACACATATATATTACTGGTTTGCTGGATATATTATTATTCTCCAACTTGCTAAATATGCATTCGAGGTGACCATCTACCTTCGAAAAATATTACCTTCAATTGACCAAATCTCAAAGATCCTATGTTCTCTCTCTTTCTAACCAAAGACCCAAAGATCTCTGGCTGGCCAAACCCAACCCAAAATCTTGATATTCCAAAGCACCGTCTCTGTTTCCCTTCTCTTAATACTCTTAAGTCACTCCTCATTGCTCAAATCTGGAAGTCCCAATCGCTGTTCTTCATTGCTCAGATATGAAAATCCCAAACCTTTTTCTCACTCACTTACTCATTGGCTCACATTGCTCAAATCTGAAAATCCCAATCTCTCTCTCTCTCTCAACTTTAAAACCTAATTTTCCCTCTTGAACCTAAGCAAGTATGCTTATATGTTCTCTTTCTCTCAATTTAAGCCCCATACACTCTTACCCCGAAGTGAGGCGAATCCGAAGTGAAGCAAAGCGAGTCTTGGGTACGCTATTTCAGTCCGTTTTGGGCTACTTTGGTTAGATTCGGGTTAATTTCAGGCCTATTCGGTCGAAACTTTGGCCTTTTCGGTTGATGCCAAGAAATATCTATATAAAAATATTGTATTTTTTTAAAAAATTTTCCGTTATTTATATATGTATTTTTTATATAGATATCTAATTTATTTATATTGAATTAGAAAAATCCTGAAGTCTTCCGTCGAATCAGCCGAAATACTGAATTGTTTCATTTTTTCCACCAAACCCTCGGTAGTAAATCTACACCATTGCTTAACAGTAAGTCTACCCACTTAAAATCCATATTGGATGTGGATTTGTAGTCCAAAATTTGCAAATCTGTATAGATTGCAATGAATATCAAGACTATTCATTTCAACTATTCAAAGATTTTCAGGTCGAAGGTGTGTTTAGAGCTCCAAATTAATGGGCCTAAGCTGAAAACGGATTCACAGTGAATTGGGATGTGTTTTGGATCCTAAGTTCTAATTTTCCAAAATTAAAAAATAAAGATTTGTTCATTTTCTTCTGAGATTATGTATTTTGAGACTTACGTCTTATACTCAATGTAATGATAAAAAAGAAATTCAACTAATTAATGTAGAAAATGGAAGCGAAATACATTTGACGAGTTTCCTGCAAGCATCTTTTGTTGGAGACAATAATGGTAATAAATACTTCAAAATGGAAAGATGAACTGCTGAAGGCTGACACACTTAATTGAAATGTTACATAAATAATCGAACTATCAAGTGACTAATATTATGAGATTCATTATATAGATTAAGGAGCAACTACTAATATTATTAGATTCATTATATAGATTTAAGCAGCAACTAAAAGGGTGAGAGGCCTAAAAGAATATGGATGGAAGTAATGAGAAAATATTAGAGAACTTATGGTCTAATTATAGTAATAGTAATAGTATTAGTAATAGTATTACTATTATCAGTAGTAATAGCATTACTATTAATAATAATATTACTATCACTTAAGCATATTGTACAACAAATCCCTTGGGCAATATTAGATTATGGGGAAGATTTATGGATTCAAGCATCACTAACCCATTGTTTAAAGAAAATATCGGATGTTGAGTTCTTGAACGTCTAGATCTTTCCTTTAAAAAATTCGATGGACCTTGTTCGATCGTGGAATGTCATTTTTAGGCAAGTAGAGTGCGAACTGTGCGAGTAAATTTTCTTTTTCTCTAAGGTTGTTCAATGGGTTGTAGAGATCACATATACAAAATTTGTGATCCAAAAAGTGTTTCTAACTTAACTTTGCCTGAAGGAGCAAATGGACAATATGCTCCAGTCGGAGCATGAAATCTCCAAGCTAAGTTAATTTTATTATTTTTATATTTGATATCCATTTATATACTACTTATAAATTTCAAAAAATTTCCATATCTTTTGTAGATCCATTTTTTAATAGCAATTACTTGACTAGACCGTTTGGGCAGTAGCCTTGATTGAGTCCTATTGTCTTTCTACATAGGAACGTTTAGGGAACTGACACCCAAGTTCGTGTCGGAGTAAGATAGATAGAGGTCGGCCCATACTCACAATAAACATAAATCCATTGATCGGATGGTGATAATTGTCTCTATAGTCATGTAGATTATAGTATACTTATGATTAGACTTAATAATGGCGAAAGTATTTTGTAGAGGTGTGGCCTGGTACTGACTCCTAGGGGTGGCAAAGGGTCGGGTCAGACCCAGACCTAGACTCAGATCCGAAAAAACAATACAGAACCTATATTAGGATTCGGATCCAACCCAAAAGCAATAAAAATAAAAATATTCAAATGTCATGTTAAATATATACATGTATTATTTAAATATTATAACTAAAATTATAATTATTTATTAAATATTATTAACTTAATAATAGTATTCAAGTCGGATTTGGGTCGGGTTCACATGTACCTGGACCCAGACCCAAATAGTATTTGGGAACCCAACCCGTCAGATCCAATTCTTAGACCTATACCCAAACCCAGGTCGGATCCAAACGTGGGTCCCGAGGTCGGATCCCGGTCCATTGCCACCCCTATTTGTACACCTGAAGCTAGATAACGCAGTTTTGTCGATAGATTACCCTACAAGTCAATCGTCTCCTCTTTAATGATCTTGAATCTAAATGAAAATGTGTGTGTGACTAAACTTTAGGAGCCGTGTTTAGGGAGGCATTTTTTTTAGCCACATTTGCTTTCAAAGTCGGTTTTCAAGCTTTAGGGATCATATTGTCATTTTCTAAATAGGATCTCATTAATAATTCTCGCATCGCATCGCAGCGAAAAGATATGCTCCATAGGAATAGAAGCAACGGTTTAGAGGGACAAAGTAGCCCTCTTTTTAGGGATAAAAGTATCATTTTAAGTTCAATTTTAATTTGAAGTTCTATTCACATTAGAATTAGGAGCTATGGCGCCAAAATTGAGTTTACAACTAGGGATTCTTTTAGGGTTTTAATTTAAAGTTGAATATTATTCAGAGTGCGCTATTTGAGAATTCTAGTTGAATTCATTGTAGTCATTGAAACTGGCTTGTTACCTAGCTTAGCTCTTTGATTTACTTTATTCAGGTGAAGGGCAAGTTCTATAAGACAACTGTGAAACCAACTTTACATTATGAAAAAAATATTGTGGTCAAGAAACAACATATCTATAGAACGAGTGTAGTTGAGATGATGATGTTGAAATGGGTGAGTGAAAAGACAAGATGAGATAGAATTTAAAATAAATACATTTGAGAGAATTTAGGTGTGGCATCAATGGGCGATAAGATGAGAGAAAGTAGACTTAGGTAGGTTGGTCATGTGTGGCAAGACTTAGTACAACACATGTTAGGAGGTGCACATTAATTCAAGTGAAATGCTAAAGAAAGGCAAGGGGTGGGTCTAAAAAGACATGGTTGGAAGTAATGAGAAAAGATATAAAGACTAACTAGCTCACTGAGGGTATGTCACTTAATAGAGCAGTTGAGACGAGGATGTTGAAATGGATGAGTGAAAAGACAAGATGAGAAATACATTTGAGAGAATTTAGGTGTGTCACCAATAGACGATAAGATGAGAGAAAATAGATTTAGGTGGGTTAGTCATGTGTGGCAAGACTTAATACAACACATGTTAGGAGGTGCAAATTAATTAAAGTGGAATGCTAGAGAAAGGCAATGGGTGGGCCTAAAAAAACATGGTTGGAAGTAATGAGAAAAGATATAAGGACTAACTAGCTCACTGAGGGTATGCCACTTAATAGAACAGTTGAGACTAGGATGTTGAAATAGATGAGTGAAAAGACAAGATGAGATAGAATTTAAAATAAATACATTTGAGATAATTTAGTTGTGGCACCAATAGATGAAAAGATGAGAGAAAGTAGACTTAGGTAGGTAAGTCATATGTGGCAAGACTTAGTACAACATATGTTAAGAGGTGCAAATTAATTCAAGTGGAATGCTAGAGAAAGGCAAGAGATGGGCTTAAAAAGACATGGTTGGAAGTAATGAGAAAAGATATAAAGACTAACTAGCTCATTAAGGGTATGTCACTTAATAGAGTAGAATAACGGATCAAGATTTATATAACCAACCATAATTAGTTAGGAAAAAACTTCGATGATGATGATGACGACATTAGCTATTTGATTTCTTCAGTCACTTTCGAATTTATACTAGAAGATGAAATAACATAACACAATCAAGGAATTAATTGATAAAAGATATAGTTAATGTTAAAAAAATTCCCATGATTTTTTAAAAAGATTCATGCTTTATTTGAATATGCCTAGTATGAATTTGGGAAATAATTTAAATTACAAATATATTCTTACTCAATATTTTCAAACAAATTATTGCTAATTAAAATTTTAGATTTGTAAAAATATTCTCAATGAATAAAAAACAGCCGGCCTAGCGCCTAGACGGGCCAGGGGGTGCAGTGCATCACCCAAGCCTATGTGGGTTTCTTGGGTGGGGAGACCGCCGGATGTCCTGGGCACGGAGTCCCTGGGTGACCACCTAGGCACTTTAGGGCAGCCACCTAGGCGCTTCAGACCCGCCTATATGCGCACCCAAGACTACACCCCTTTGTTTACCATTAGAATGAAAAAATAAAATAAAAACAATCACTTATTTACATTTCTAAGAGATCAAATGGGTATTTCAGAGCATTGAAAAATCGATTCAAACATCGTTTTTTTTGTTTGGATTTGATTTTGATGATTTTTGAAGCTTATTAGAGGGTTTTTGGGAAGTATTTGAGACCGAGAAACATCTCAAACATTGAAGATTGAATATTGAGCAAAAAGGTTAGTTAAAAATCTTCATATTTGAGATTTTATTTATTATTTCAATGTCTTTTTCGGGTTATTCTGGAAGTGGTGATCCGGGGTAGAAGTATGGTTATAACTCAAATCCAAATGACAAAAATTGTATTATATCCAAAATCGTATAAGATATAATTATTGTGAAAAAGATACTAATGTTAATATAACCAGCTCAAAAAACCCCTTATCGGTATCAGGAGGAATGTTCCCTCTTGTAAAAATGTTGTTGAAACTATCGAATGGAAGATTAAGCAATACATGAGTTCAACAAAATAAACACAAGAACAAAAGTCTTGACATTTAGATAAGTCTATTTCTGGTTCTTTTAGAAGTGACGATCCGGGTTGAAAGTGTGGTTATAACTTGAAAACAAATGATAAAAATTATATAAGGCATTTTTTTTAAAAAAAAAAGATAACAATGGGGGTATTAACCGAATCAAGAAACGCCTAGCCCGTATTAAAGAGAATGTTGTTTTTCATAAAAAAGTTCCTAAAGTTATTAGGGATGAGATCAGACAGTAATTGAAATCAGACAGTAATTGAATTGAGTAAAACCAGAAAAGGACCCTTCTTATATAAAAATATATTCTTCAGGTTCTTCTAGAAGTGGCGATCCGGGTGCGAAGTATGGTCATAACATAAATTTGAATGACAAAAATTGTATACGGTCTAATAATTGAAGAAATGATACTAATGGGGCATTTACCGAAAATACCTTGACGGTATTAAGAGGGATCTTGCCCCGTGCAAAAATGTTCCTGAAGCTATTATGGAGAAGATGAAACAATATTTGAGTTCAATGAAAAACAAAAAGCAAGAAAAGAGTGAAGACACACCGTGTAGAGCAGCCAAGGCTCCTACGACGTCATCTGCACAGAGTAAGAGGGAGGTAAAAGAAGAAGAAGAAGAAGCAGATTCAGAAGAAACAAATGACGAGTGTTATGTTGAAAAAGGAGATACTCTGATAATAATGGCGTTGAATCCGATGCATATGATGAAACTTACCCTACTATTTCTAATGATGACTGAAGACATTTAACTCTTTGAGTCTTAGACTGTATAATTTTTTTTTTTCTTTCTACTATCTACTCTTGTGCATGCCTGTATGGTTGTCATGGTATGGAAATATGGATTTTGGAATGATAGGAACTACGGAGCATGGAGTATGGTCTATGGAGTTTATGTTTGTACTAATAGTTTATCTATTACAAATATAAAATGGTTTAAAACTTTTTGGATTAGGGGATTTTTATTATTTTATGATGTATACTCATATTCCCCTACCCTAGGTCCTAGGCTGCCCAAGTTTTGGGTAGCGACCTAGGCATTGGGCGGCCAGAACCCCGGCTGCGTAGGCACCGCTCGGCGTTTTTTGGAACACTTAATATTCTGGATACAAGATTTTGGAGTAGAAAATTCTGATTTCACAATAGGAAAGGTATAGCTTAAAATAACAATATGTACACATATTTTTTGGACCTTCCATTTCAAGTAATGGCAATGTCTAGAATAAGAATTGGTGGGGTTTTGATTTGAAGAATTTCGTAAAGCTGCAGTCCATAAGAGTTGCTATGGTTTTGGACCAAATTCAAACAGAAACATTTGGGGAAGCAAATAAAAACTAAAACCAAATGAGAAGTTATAAAGGAATCGCAGCCAAACCCTTACTTGTAAAAGAATGTACCATAGAGTCATGGATTTCAAAATATGATGATTGGGAAGATTGGCCAAAATTGCAGTCCTAAACTACCTTAAAATGCATCAATCACTCATCTAAGAAGCAAAATTTGCAAGTTCTTGGCACTTTTGAACATTTACAAAATTGTGAAGGCAAAAGATTCTCCATAGGAAACAACAAATGGGATTTCAGAAATCAATTCACCTCTGATAATTTGTACTTTATTTTCCTCAGCTGTAATGCCCACATTGAGGAAGAAATCATTCTATATTTAAGAAATGTTTTTTCACCACATTTTCTTGCTTTTCAAGGTGGTGCATTGGAAGCGGGAACCAGCCACTGTAGTCCTAAATCAGCCAACCTTTTCCTGCTAAAGAAAATATAGTTAGAAGATCAGAGAGGTGAGTCCAACACATGTGACTTCAACTTTGATACAAGGAAAGAAATTATACTACCATTCAAACAAATAAAATAGAAATTACAAGATCAGGGTTTCAGCATAGCCTCTGCGTTCTAAAGTCTAAACATTTCATTTTGATAGGGAACTTTTGTAAACCCTAGGAAAATACGTTTTACTGTAACAAGAAAATGCATACATGACGCGCGCGACAAGCAAGGGGCTTGGACTGTCCATCTTGTACAGTAGTATGTGAATACAACATGTAACATACAATGTGTAACTTGAATGAACAATCGAAACATGAGAAAATATACCATAATATGACAAAGTAAAGGGGCATCCACTGCCTGTTTCTGATGACGGACAGCGGAGATTAATTGCACTGGGGTGAATATCCACGTGGGTCCTCTATATATCTCCACTATCTTTCATCAGGAATGGGTGATAGGTGATTGGTGCCCCTTTGGAGTATACCATACAGTCTTTTAGATTATGGTATACTTTCCCCAAAAACATTACAAGAACTACATTACCAGAAAATGGAACAGAATATTGGTTGTGTGCAACTTATAGAAAAACCGAACGAGGAAAAATACAATGTGCTTACGTGATGAGATTAAAGCTAGAAGGCATCTCAAAAGTAGACTTTGGCTTGTTCTCCTCCAACATGGCAGCATAGCTCTTTGAACTGTTGTATCGTGTGGTCCATGTAACGAAAAATACATGTTGAAAGCCACCAACTATAAACAGCACCTTTATAAAACTTGTGCAAAATTGTCAAAGAAGGAACACCAATTTTGTTAGGAGACTCATCATGAGCCATTAAGGACATGGAAACCTTTGCCTAGTCACATTAGAAGCTGTTCACGTTGATACCATCTACACTGAAAATTACAAGAAATGGATTCACATGTTTTCTACCAAATTTCCTATTTGTTTTTTATATATATTCCTTCCCCAAGGTTTCTGTAACTCATTATTTGTTTTTCTCACAATTTTTTAGCCCATTCTGATGATATCCTTATTCCTTCCCCACTTCCCATTTGTTTCTCCACTACGTTCTCATTCTGCACATTAATTCTACTCCAATTTCCCATACCATGTCCTATTTTCACATCTAATTTCATGAACTATTTGTATCATTTACCCATGGTTTTCAATGGTTGAGGACCCAAAGTGCTCTAAATCCTGCTCTTACTATCCAAGATAAATATCCTGAAAAGGAAAATGGATTGGAGCAAATGTTTCATCTTTATTGCCATCTCAAAATCTGACCCAAGCCATCCCTTGAAATGGAATATAGAAGGATCAGATTTTTAGGAGCTCTAAATTCAATTTCTTATGATGGAGATCAATTTGCAGCTGGTTTAAAGTGTTTTTGTATCCTCAATCAAAAAGGTGGATCATGAGGTGCTGCTGAAAAGTTATATACCCTTTATTAATAGACATGTATGTAGACAATCATATCCATCAACTCACAGAAAAACCACATAAGTTGAAAAAAGGAAGGGGCAATGTAAAGAAACATGTTGGAAGGCCAAAAATCTTCACATGAACATTTTATTATGAAATATACATAAACACGTAACAAAATCTGTACATACAATGATACAATTGATTGATTGAGTGTTTCCTCACCATACAATTTTTTAGCAGCATCGCCCATCATGTACATTACTCAACATTTCTTGGAACTCCCAGTTGTAGATTCAAATATTCAAAGAAGAAGATCATAGTACAGTCTGGCTACGCAAAAAGATATTAAAGGTTCCTATTTCAGGCACCTAGCTTCATGGTTACGGTGTTGACAAATTGCATCACAAAGCCACAGATTTGATTACCACCAGTGACTTACAAAAAGAACGATTCCTAGTACATGAAGCAGAAGAATATACTTTCAATTATGTTTTTGAGTTGGACCAAATAAGGTAACTGCTTTGATTCAATGCTGCCTTTAGTGACAAAATCGACTCCAAAACTCAAATGCAATAGCAGCTGAAAGAAGCTCAGCACGAGTAGTAACACTCTTCCGATATGAGAAATCAACTTCAGATCCATCTTCCCATACCACCAGGAACACACTTCCGATATGAGAAGTCAACTTCAGATCCATCTTCCCATACCACCACAAAACATTCTGATTGAGGATATGAGGGGTTATGCCCAACCTGCCAATCACAAATAGATCATGAAAAGACGAACCAATAAAGCAAATTATCGATAAAACTTAAACAAACCATCATATAATGAGCAAACAAAAAAAAGAGTTCTTCAAAGAGATACATGTGGGCAAAGGGACCCATACTATAGAGCATAAGCCCATTGGCTTATATATAATGTGTTTGTGTTGCTGATTTACTGATAGGAATGTGCAATTTCAATAACAAACTCTCAAACTTAAATGGATGCCTAAGCAATATACGAAAGAAAGAATATTTAAATATTTCAAGAAATGATTTTATTTAATATTGCTAATGATTTTTTTTTTTAAGTATATTGCTAATGATTTTTTTTGATATGCAAAGCAGATAAAAATGAGGAACTAAAATTTAATCCTATATTAGCCAAAGCATTTACATCGTACAGAAACAAACCACTGCAAGGAAACACGTGTGGACCCAACCATGTGTTTGACATGGTACAAAATTATTTGGCCACGGATAAGAATCAGTTGTAAGTCAGATAAGTCCAATATGAGCTATTTAGAAATGAGTACATCCTCAGGAGCTGAGAGTGTTTCTTTATGAGGTCGTTTAATGCATGACCACTGTGGTGACAGCCATACAGAGAGAGTGGTGTGTCCAAGCCTCCAAGCCGATTCGCTTTCAGTGGAATGCAAACGGCTAATTTGCTGTAAGTTTGCAACAGGGATCCTATCCTTCTTTCTAGGTATCTTTGGAATTGAAGGGGATTTTCAAGGTCGTCTGACTCTCCATAAGTCTCCATGGCTTGTGGTTCATTTCCTTGAAAAGCTATGTTCCTAATGGGATTTGTCTAGTGATGGTCTTTTGCAGAATGAAGTTCATTCTGCATATGCATAACAAATTATGACCTGATGGGAGCTGCTAATGTCTATCAAAATAACTAAAAATACTGCAACCTGGGAGTAAAGAGATAAACTCTCAGCTACTACTACTAAACAAATGAAAATATCAGCACACAGTGGATGAAATTTATGGCACCAGAGGAATCATGGACTTATGGCCAGCTTCTCTCTCAAATTTGTCCATATAACTAATACTCAGAAAAGCTAAAGCTATTCTTGAGGAGCTCCCCTACAAGATACAATCACCATAAAGGATGGGTGCAACAACATTGATATGCCACAAAGGGATTTCTACAGGCATATTCACCTATACATAAGGGAGGAATGCGGCATGTTCGAGGATATTTACGCAGTCAATTTTTCATGTTTGTCAAAAGTAGACCCCATTGTCCAACATGGCTACGAAGAGAGATGAGGAGTTTCACAACAAAAAAAGTTGAGGGTCAACTGCATAGGCTCCATAGAAGGAGTCTCAATCGTGGAAGGAATGGGTTTAAGTATGAATTCAATAGACATTAATATAGTTGTAATTCATGGCTGTGCCATGGCGCTGGAACGCCAGCTATTTCAGTCTAGTTTTTAAAGAAAATGGTGTATAGGTACCTGGCTTTTCATTGAGAATACGCAGGTTAGCAATAACTATAGGTTTTATCAGTATGGAATAAGTTGTAGATGTCAATGCTCCTTGCACCAGCACACCATCTAGACTGTATTAGTCATTAAATTAACGAACTGATAGGGAACTCCCAGCATATTGACCACAAGGAAGAGAACGACCTGAGGACACCAGTATAGAAATCACCTATCACCTATTGTTATATATCAAACATAGGTGCGAAGAAATATGCTCTGATACTACACATGGTACAAGAAAAGTTATGGAACAGAAGAGAGGCATAATCTGTAAAATGAGTGCATATGGAGCAAAATTGTTAGAAATGCATTTTTTTTTGTTTTGTTTTGGGGGGGACGGAGGGAGATGACTCATTCGCATGATGGTACTTTCTGGAATGAATTATCATCTAAACTTAGGTCAATAGATGTTATAACTTCCGATATCTCTCTCCTTCCACGTGGTCATTAGAGCAGTTTTTTGTGCAAACCCTAAATCGCTAGTACATATCCCCAGGGAGGAAGATTAACCATCCACTAGCCCTATACTCAACAGATATAGCAAGAAAATGAAACAAATCGTATTTCATATCTTCACAAGTGTATCAAACATCATTTGATATGTCTGGTGGCTTTACACACATTTCAACACTTTCAATAAATATTCCATAGCATGCACTGTGAAATACATAAATAAACACATCAATCATTACCTTAATTCTGTGAACACCAGTGCCCAATTTTTTATCCTTTCTAGGATGGAAATCTAAGGCCTTCATCACAATGGGTTCGTCCTCTTCATTCAAAAATTCACCCATTTTGTATCTACAAAAGCAAAACAACAGTAAGTAAAGTTCATAATAAATACTCAGTAGAACACAAAACAAGAAATAAACCCAACAAATCAAGTTGGATTGAACCTTACAAACATTCAAAAGCGAAATACTACTTTTTTGTCAAACTCAACTCAAAAGAATCTTTTAAGAAAATTTTTGGGATCATGTACATATTTGGATGAGTATATCAATAAAAGACATGGGTGACACAGACAGCAAACCTAAGCAACCGAGACATGAGAGATTTGGCACTTCAGAACTCAATGACCTGGCCCAACATTAATATAATTATAATAGTTATGTTCATGTTGCCAAAACAAAGATGAAACTTGTCTTGACTTGTTAGCTACAGTTAAATGAAATTCAAACAAGCTGCACATAAGATTGACCTATCAGTGATTGCCTTTGTGCAATAAATCTGTTTGATTGGAAGAAAAATATCACTCGAACAAACAGAATCAAAGCCCTCTCAAAGATTTGCAGGGATGACTTTAAGTATATCTATACATTGTTCCTTACGTGGATGCGAATAGAAAAACCAATTTCAAGTGATCCCCATTGTGTTTGTATTGATAATCCTCTGCATGGCAGAATCTGATAGAGAAACATATCAAGGTTGAGAACTGTTTTCTATAGAGTGAAAGTGTGACCCAGATGCCACCACTGAGAATTACTTAAGCTCAAAAGCATAGATGTGGGGAGGTGGTTGAGGGGTGGTGATCCCTCCTTCAACTCATGCTCTGGTGATCCAAGAGCTCCCCAACAAGGGATCTCAGAACACCCCTCCCCCCCCAAAACACAAAAAACAAAGCTAAAAAATAAGAAATAAAAAACAAAAAAAAATCAAGTGATCTCGATCCCTAACTATAACTCATCTCCACCTGATGGAAGGGGACCACAAAGTGAAGATGGCGATGCAATCTTGGTCTGAATGGATCATGATTCCAGTAGGATTTTCAAATGTTTTCAAATTTTGAACCCAGCGTCTTTGATTTAGTGTTGATTTTCTAGTTAATGACCACCTATCATTTTGTTTTCTATTTTCATGGTCACGGTTTGCATAAGTGCTTAAAAACAAATGAGCTGACTCAAAATTGCCAAGCTAACTCACGCTCAAGGGAGTGCTAAGAAATTGCCTAGGCTATCCAAAAATGGGTCGTTCACTATCATGATTCGCCTAATTCGGCTCTTATCAAGAACCTATACTGTCCTCTTTCTCAAATTTTTTATAGACTTTCAGGCTTTGGAGTACTCATTCTACATGTATGTAGAAAATGCAAAAGAAAATTACACATTTTTATTTTAATAAAATTTAAAACATTAAATAAAACAATATATAGACACATGCATATATCACTCTTAAAAAATAAAATTATAGATACCCCCTTTGGCCATACTTTCTAGGCATGCCACACCTCAATACTTAGTAAATCACACTCCTAACCCCAAAATTTTTTATATTTGCAACCACACAACAAAGTCAAAGGGTAGACTTTTTTTGGACCAAAATACCCTAGGCCACATTTTCCACTTTCTCTCTCTTAGCCTGTTCGACACATTTTTCTGTTAGACCAGCACATGCTAGGCATCACATTTTTGGAGTCATGGGTTAAAAAGGTGGGTATTTTGGTCCAAACAAATTCACTATTTTACTGTGGGGGGTGGTTGCAAAGAAAAATAGTATTGTGGTTAATAGTGTGGTATCAAAAGTGTCGAGAGGAAGAATGGCTAGAAAGTACAAATTTGAAGGAGGGGGTAGGGGGGGTGGGGTTTATAATTTTCCCAAAAATAAATTAACATATATGCATGCATACATACATACATCCATGCATACACACACACATACATACTTACATACATATGTATGTGTGTTTGTTGTGTGTATGTTGATAGGGAAGTCCCCAAGCATTCCCATATACATACATTATCATCATCATCATTTATCATACAAGTTTATCCCGACTATGTGGGTTGGGCTACATAAATCCTGTTCCGTCATTCTGCTTTATCAAGAGCTCTATCATTTACCACTGAACTACGCCAAAAATAAACGGCTCCCATAGACATACATATGGCCAGGCAACTTCTCAGCCACTCCTCTGAACAACGCTCCAGGGAGCTCACTCTGTAGGGAGCTTTAGCCATCCTAGGCTCCTGTTTCTGCTCCCACTTCAGAACCCTATCCACTGCTTACAACGATGGTTAAAAAACAATATTAATGGGTAATGATGCTTGAATTCTCTTTAATTGGCCTAAAATGAAAATGTGTCCTCTTCTTCAAAACCCAAGTTTTGCCTAGTGATGCATTTTCTAGGTCCCAGAATGGATCCTGCAAAAGCGACAAAAAGGGGGGCTTTAACTTAACAACAATAGTGGAAAGAATTCCCTAGAAGATAATAAGCACATTTAAAGAGAATGGGGAACATATTGGCAAAGCATTCCTCCTCCAAAACAAGTGTCCTAGATGGAAGATCCTAGTTGAAAGGAGTGGCCATGTAGAACTCAAGATATTAAATTCAATTTCTTTTTTTTATTCAATATACCTGAATTCCACTTACATGAGTCACTATACACTATTGTAAATTAAATTTAAAACCCTAAATACAACCTAGAATCTTTATTTTTACTGCCAAAGCAAATAAAAACCATCCACGAGCAATAAATAATCATCCCCCATAGTTTTGAGTACAATATTTGTTCCTAGAAATTCATAGAACAATATGAAATAAGATCAAAAAATAATTAAATCTATTGGGAAGACTTACTATAAGGTACTTGGAGTTAACCTCACAGGTCTTGATCCACCCCACACCCGATTCTCTAACCGATGGTGTACTTTTGTCCCTTTGATCTAGCTGAAATTTCAGAGATAGGAAGCTTTCATAGGCAATCTCTCTTACTCTAAGGTTTTAGAAAGCATGGAAACCTAACTAGGGTTTGTAGGAAACCTTAGGAACAAATTAGGGCTGGGCTGGAAGGCATAGATTCCTCCTTTGGCTGGGCATACCCCTTTTTCTTCTCCAAACAGCAAAACCCTAATTAGGGTTTCGATGTGCTGCCCTTGTCTTATCAAATTTTGGATGGCATAACCCTTTTTGGAAGGGCAGAGAGAGAAAAATGAACTTTTAATGTGTGTGAGAGAGAGAGACTTGGCGCATGAAGGAGAGAGAAATATGTGTATTGAGAGAGAGGGGCTCAATGGTGTTTAAATAGAAAAAATTTCTTCTCCTATTTGGATTAGAATTTCTTCCTTAGATATTGCGTGTCCAAAGACACAACTTGATTAACAGGAACTTGGGAAATCTGTGGGGTGAGACTGTGAGAGAGAAGAAATATGAGCCATCCATCCTACAAATCAGCCATCATGATTTTTGGAGAATTATTAGGAACCTTATCCCTTAATTTGACCTAAGTCCAATTTTTGTTTAAATTAAAGTTATAACCAATCCAATACTTCCTAATATCCTTCCAAAATCTGTAGGAAGTCAAAATAATTAGAGTTTGGTCAAACCAAACTCCTAATTTAAAACCATCTTTTAATATTTAAAAGATTCCCCTAAAATAACCTTATAAAATAAAGAGCGTGTGCCGCCCAAGAGAGATTAAGTGGTCCCAACAATGGCCCACGTCCCACTCATGGGTGGCACACATGTGGGTCTGGATCCTAGGCCCCACATGTGCCCTTCCAAACTTCAGAAATTATGAAAACACCCTTTTGAAGGATTTTAATGCAGAAATAAATTTTTTAAATTCTGAAAAATCTGTGAAAATCATTAAATATTTGTAATACCAAAATAAGATATTTTAGAAGGGGACTGACACCAATAGGTAAAAATTAGCACTCCACTTGACCCAAGAACTATGATCCACTACAGTGTTTTTGTCCAACCCAATAAAGACCCATGAGTCAAGTCTCCATGCAGGGGCTCACGCTTGGCTCGTCAAAGGTGGACAATAATCAATAGAACCATGACCATGGAATGTGGATTTCACTCCCCCCTTTAAGAGCAAGTCCAACACTTGTCATTACAGTGCAAAGGGGGCTCTCTCTATGCACATGTATATGTGTTCCTCTGTAAGGCTGCTTCTCATTAATACAATTGTCATGTGTACATGCGGTATAGAAAGTTGTTAAGGCTTTGGCCCTTGCTCTCATAAGCCTACAACTACATATAAGAGATCACACAGTTCTCCTAACCTACAAACATTATCCCTAAGCATCTCTCTGACCTCAATAAGGGATAACCCACAATAAACCCTTCTTGGTAGTGCCACATGCCCAGGGGTAAGAGTTTTGGACATAACCAGAGTCATAAAACACCCAACCCATGGTCAGTCAACACACACACTCCCACTGAAGTGCATATTCCACTATAAATTATCATTTTTATACGTTCTCTAGGCCTTTAAAGGCCACAAAACCCAACACTAGTAACAATGGGCAGTACACCAACACTGTCAAGCAAAGGTGAAGGTGTGGACCTGTGATTCGAGATACACCAAAAGCAATCAAAAGGCACACCATCTTATTTGACCCTCCATGTGTTCTTAAATTTGCATATGATTGAGAAAACACAAAAAAAGAACATGAGATACTATAGGAGGTAAAGAAACTTACTTGCGCAAAATGGAACGTAGTGATTTACGCATTTCCATGATATCATACCAGGGCTTGAACATTTTGGTATTTGAATTTGTTTGGTCGCTTGGATCATTGGATCCTACTGATCCGATACCAGCATCTCGATATCCTAGTTCACCTATCTCCGCTCCAAGGATCACCTCATAAGGATCACATGACAAGGTTCCATCTCCCAACTCACATGGAGCAGCTTTCTGATCCTGAAAAAAACATATAAATACAACATTAACATGATATCTCAAACCTTTGAAGTTAAATGCCATATAATTAGAGCTGCAAGTATTGAAGAAAGTAGAGTGAAAATGTTACAATAACTGCTTGCAAAGATACAGCCATCAGACATATAAAGTATATAAAGCCTCATACTGTAGTTGCTACCTTCTAGTTACCCAAAATCACTAACAGAAAATAAATTGTTCATGAAGACTAGTGCCCATGTGCCAATAATCTTGATTAACTTTTTATGCAATTGACATACAGTCATAGTAGGTCATCGCATCACACGCTTCTCAAACTTGTGCTTTTATGTTGTGTTGCAAATAAAACACCCTAAACAATTGGAAGTTGCTACCACTGGCTTGCTGTGCATAGGATAGACAGAAAATCGCTCCTTAGAGGGCTGCTACCACTTGCTTTGCTTGTTGCTTCCCGCAACCACTTTGGTACTTTGACTAGATGGGTGCATGCTAGGAATCGAAAGGCACTGGCTCCCTCATAGTAGGTTATATGTTACTCTTCATGGGGCCAAAATCAGCAGCAAACTCAAATAGTAGTCCGACCCTAAAATGTGTCCCCCAAGCTGTAAAAGGCGAGAACTACTTTTCCACATATATTGGTTTGGAGTTTGAAAGCTCACGCAACATTGTGTATCGATTGTTAAATATTTTAATTTTTTAGCTCTATAGTTTGTGTGGTCTTAAGGTTTGTGTGTAAGGATTTTGGTGCTCTACTCATGTTGTACAAAACTGCATGTTGATTTGATATTGTTTATTCGTAAGCATTTCATTTGTTATCAATCACCTATAGTAAAAATATTACTGGATAGCATAGGGCTTCTAGTTGTATCAAGCATTTGGGTGCACATTTGCGCCTGAATTGGATATCAATTAGAAGAGCAATAGGTAAGTACATTCTTTCTTCTCAAATTTATAAGTCCTTGAATTATGAATAGCAACTCCTCCTAGGATCTGGGTTTCATATTTGATTGGTTTAAGGTGTCGATGCTTGGAAATTTATGTGGCACTTGTTACTCAATGAGAAGGAACTTCCCTCCTAGGAACTGGGTTTCGGATGAGAACTTCACTCCCATACTAATGACTAGAGCACCTTCTGTAATATAGGTTGGAGAAGGGAACCTAGCAATTTATGGAAAAGTGAAAATGAAAACCACGAAGTCATAAGCTTACAACAACATCAAGCAGACCAACAAAACTACTGGTAATCAAACCAAATGTTAAGGAAGCAAGCACACAACTCAATCAAGAGAGCTTCAACCAAAGTGTGTGATTCCAAGGACACACATATTACCCACCTTAAATGGTCAAGTATAGTTGACAACCACCAACAGAAGGCATCAAGGGAAACTTGCAACTTAATACAAGTTCACATGCTCCTGATATGCAAAAAAGCCAAAATTGAACAGGCCAAGTTTTACCCTTTGGCATGCCCAGAGAAAAGAGCCACGTAGTTCACATGTAGGAAACATTCTCTCATTGATTAGATCACTCAAGAAAAACAGATGTTTCAGAATGCCAAAATGTGAAGAAACTTGGAGAGCACCAGATGCACACTTTTCTTCTTTGTTTTTGAATTGATGACGATGATAATGAGAGCACCAGATTAAATGGTTTTAATGATGATGATTATGATGATGATAATAAGAGGATCAGATGCACACTGTTCTCATCTAAGAGGGAAGAATTGCAAGTGGTATATGAATATACACCAATTCAGAAGGAACCCCATAACAAATCAAAAGACAATGAGAAAATTTATTTCTAATATCACACTAACTAAATAAACATTGTAATATAAGAGAAAAGACACTCACATTATCATTAAATAGTATGTCAAAACTCCCATGTGTCCCAATGCAAGCTTTCTTTCCCCAGGCCAAAGCATCTAGAGGTCCATGAAGTCTATCTTCTGCACCAGTTTTTGCAGCTTGGAGGAAAGATTCACTTGGGCTCTGCAACAAATTCCACATGAAATAAAACAGAGAACCAAGAAACGAGTATTTAAGGAAAGAAACCCAAATATTGTAGAAAGAGAATTAAGAAAGTCCATTCAAATAATTTAGAGAGAGACTAACAGCAAAACAGGCTTGCATAAATGGTGTTGTAATTGACATTTGACTCCGATGCTTTTTTATGCCTTTCAAAGTTAAACCATGGAACTCTCCAGTTACTGATAGACAATTAGCGGCAATAAGTAGATGCTCTCTGTGCACCTTCTTCCCCATACCAGACAGAACAGAGTGCACATTCTACGAGGGAGAAAGAACATCAAAGTTATGACATGACCAGTCACTTGAAGAATCGCATTGAATAATACCTAAATTATTAAGAATACAAGACATCAGAATATAAATATATATTTTTTATGACTAGGTGTATTATATTTCATTACATGTGTTGTAATTTCAGTAAATATAAAAGTACACATTTTTAACGACAACATCGCAGTATCACTACCAAGAACAAAAGAAACAACCACCTTACCTCAAAATAGTACTTCCATGCAGAATCAATCCCAAAAGCATTACAGATATTCTGCAAGCTATCAGGGTGACTACGTTGCCAGTCAATCAGCTTAGCTATAGCATCGCATCTTTTTTGCAGAATACTCCAGAGTCTCCCTGGCTTACATTTCTCTGACATGGCAACCTTCAAAAAGAGTTCACCAGAATGACCTCTTTTCAAACTCGATGTCCTAGGGTGATCTTTCCAGAAAATCATCACTTTTTTTATCTCCTCGAACCCTGTAGATTATAAGCACATAAACCAAATAGGAATTTCACTTAGTGTATACTAATAATAGATTCACAAAGATTCTACATCAGTGAAAGCCGACAATACCCAAACAAGTGAAAAGATAGGAATATGCAACATGCAAATAGAGTACACTTCAGGGACATAAAGTTACTTTCACATGAGCAATAAATCGTGAGACTCCCACAACAGACACAAAGGAATACAAATGAGATGCCAAAACTAATTGTCTACAATAAGCAAAACCAATCGCTACTACTAAAATGAATAACCTTTAATAACAGTCCGTAGAAGGAGCGGAATAATCAAGTCTCGCATTATATTCAGTGGGTTTGGAAAATCTGCAAGAACTTCCATTGCCACCCCAATAGAAATTGTTCCAGGGTTATCATCCCCATCAAAGGAGAAAACACCATACCTGAGAAAATGAAATCATAGTTAGTCATGTGTAATAAACAACCATCACATTCTATCAAAAATTCCAAGAATACAGCCAAACTTGCACGTTAAAAGTGAAACCAAATACAATAAACATAAGTAACATCAATCACTTCCCAATAATCATTTGCACTTTCCAATAATCATTTGGAATTAGAAAAAGAGAGAAATAACAATGAAATAAAATAGTAGAGACAAAGACAAATCAAGTAGATCCACCCGCTTGCATATGGAGAAACACATGCAAAGAAATGACTGTTCATTTGCAAAATAACATGGAAAGCAATACACAACATCAAATATATCATACAATTATAAAAAAGAAATGAAAGCTTAGTGTGTGCATAGATGCACATGAACCCATGATTTCCGCACTAATCTTATGAGAGGACCTACCCATGAAATATGTGCAACTTGGGAAGGACAAAATGTCTAACCCCTCTAGTGCAGGAGTCATAATTACGAACAAGAGCATCTACAAGTAGCCCTATCGACAATCCTCTAGCCCTCATTTTTTCCTAAAAAAAAGTAAAGCAAAAAACCAAAATAAAAGGTTAAACTAGTGAGAGCATCTAAAAAAAAAAAAAAGTGATATTATCTATAGCATTTTACCTTGCAGACATGAATCTGACAAACCCAAGGACTGATATTTGATCCCATGTTGTAATTATCCTCAGAGTTTGAAGCCAGGCATTTGTATCTGGACAGCACAAAAATAAAAAGGAGAATTATCTTTCTATTTTTCTATCAGAGTAATGTAAGCCATGTACAAGAAACACTCTGAACTATAAGCAGAATACATGGGTTCTGAAACAACATGAACAGAAAATAGCAACTGTCCTGTAAATCTGGTCCATGTAATGACCTTCCAGATTTGGTCATGCAACTCCAATAGCTGTGATATAGTCATGCAAGCATTCCAAGTTCTTTCCCTCTCAGACACAGCTGAACTACTTGATTTCTTTCTACAGAGCACATGCACTGTTCTTTTGATGTTTCTTATTTAGAAAAAAGTTATAGAAAAATATTTAAATTGTCAGCTAGAATCTTTAACCCATAAATCCACTTATTTAGTTCACATTTTTCCTTCTAGTTAAAATTATTATTCGTATTAGATGATGGTCAACTACATGCATCCCTATATCAGAGTTTTATATATAGCACAGGACCTTAAACTAGTCAGCATTTTGCAATGGAGTATTCATTTTATAAAATAGGATGATGAGGATAAGGACTTTCTATGGGATTTCCATCTTCGTATTTAGCTCCTGTCAAAGGAGGGATGGGGATTTCTGAATAATGAAAACCTAAGAATTCCATCTTTATACTTCAATCACAGGGGTCCCGGTTATATGGAGATATCACGTGTTTTGTGAAAGCCCGTTAGCACAAAGACTTCTATTATTTCATACTAAGTCCTTTGTGATCCTAATCATATGCTTTGCTCCTATCAGAGGTTTCATATATATGCTCTGCTCCTATTAAAGGTAACAACTCTTCAAACTGCAAAGGTTAATTTTAGAATGAGTTGTGTGCGTTTACTAACTATGTGGTTTCTTTTTTAAAAGAGTACTTTTATTGGTATCTTGCTCATCAAGTAAAGGTATTAGGTCACAACTCTTCAAAATACAAAGGTTAATTTTAGAATGAGTTGTGTGGGTTTACTAACTATGTGGTGTCTTTTTTAAAAGAGTTACTTTTATTGGTATCTTGCTCATCAAGTAAAGGTATTTGTGAAGATATCACTAAAAGACAAAAGCTACTTTTGTCATCTTCAGAAGGTAAAATTGAAATTTTTACTAACGGACAAGGGTATTCTACAAATAAAGTTCCAAGTCATTAATGTCCAATACACTATTGTACTTTTGCAAAAATTGTAAATTTACCCATACTTAATGATTAAATACCTATTAAAATAATAGATTATATACAAAGAGACCATTTATCTTTTGTACAAGGAGGTCACAATCATTCTTATCCCTTAAATTTCAAAATGGGTAGTTATAAGAGTGTTATTGAATAGACACAAAGCTCCAAAAAAAAAAGTCTTGGACTTTGTAACTGACCCCAAGCCATCCAATTTGATATTTAATGAGTGCAAATGATTGTGACGTACATGTACAAAAGATAAATGGTCTCTTTGTAGACGATCCCTTAAAATAATTTTTAAGTAATTTTGATAAATACAACCATCACAACCTATTTTAATACTAATCTTTGTATTTTGAAAGGTTGTTAACTCTAGACAAACCATATATATATATATATATATATGAAAATACTAGGATTAGCCCACTAACTCATATGAACATATGCGTTCATATGAGCCCAATGACCCAGATTGAATCTGAGCCGATCTGACGGTCACGACTTCATTTTGTATTTTAATTTTAATTTTTTTTCTACAAATCCAAATAACTTAAAATTTTAGGCGTCCATTC